AAACAACATTTCTTTAAGCCTACGTGCCCCTGGGCAGCATTCCTAGGGAGCCGCTTCCGGAAGGAACAGAGCTCCAAAATACAGTCCTTGTGCTGTTCATCAGATAATCCTCACTTCAGATAAATAGTTAACTTAGTTATATCTGCAACCTGAAACCCAGAAATAAGTGGAAACAGCACAATATCTTCCTAGGCTTAAAAAAAAAAAAAAAAAAAAGCAGCAGCTTTATGCTTCCTCTTTTTCTTCTTATGCCTATAGAAAATTTACTCAAAAGAGTAAATTAAGATATATTCCAAACAAGTCAGTTTTAAAGATGCAAAGTATTTTGTGTTATATTTATTATTAGTAATAATGTTTTTTTTTAAACACAGAATTTAATCCTCATCAATCTTTTCCAAACAACTGTGTAGAGCTTTTCTGTTTAAACAAAGGTCAATGAAAAAGGTAATCCACTCCTCCTAACACAATGGGTGCTGGCTATCTCTGACATTCTGAAGCCGAGGTTTTCAGAAATGATTAGGAGGCTGGAATTACTTGAAAGTAATAGAAGTTGTTATTCTAATTCTCCTAGCTGTCTTTGCAAATAGCAGGTGAGTCTCACCAAAATGCAAATGCTGCTGGAAATCAAAGGATGACCGACCTGTATGTCATATAGTAATGAATAAAAAAAATCTTTAGCCGAGGATAGAAATAACCCCCCTCTGGAGATTTTCAGCCTCCACAGCAGAAGTCAAGGTGTCAGTTCTTAATTAATTTTATATTAGCAGTCTCTGGCCAAAGATATTGCTTATTAACATTCCCAGAAGTTTGGATCATTATATATATACAGATGGTAGATACAAACAGAGGAAAAGATGAATATGAGAACAGGAGATAATGTTTAGACTTACCCTTGATATCATCTTTCTCACAAAAACAGTTCTGTCTTGGGAAGCAGTAACAAATCCCATGTCCTGACTTAATTCCAAGATTTCCAGTGCCTTTCCCATGACCACCAATAATGTTTCCACCTAATCAAATACAGACACAAGCTAAGATTCTCACATGTACTTAAAGGAAAAACAAACAAAAAAAAAAAGGCTCAAAGTTTTCCATGGGTTTATCCTAGCATGCATCTGAAATTTGACAGGGCAGCACAGTGCAGCGATAAAGACAGGGATTCCTACAAATTAGGAGAGAGTCTAAATTCTGACATTTCTGAGATCCTGAAATGAAAGGACCTTGGACTGCTTGAATATTAGCCTGATTAGCAGTTATTCCCATTATGGAAGACTCTGGATTAAAATTTATCTATAATAAAAATATAATAGTTCTCTTTGCATTGCATAGTTGGGATAATTTCCTAATTTCATAATTACGCCTTAAAACCTTATATGGAATCCCATTATTTAATGCCAAGCATCACCTCAAAGGATCATCTCAAGGCTGTCCTGACTCAAGTTTCCTCATAAAGCTTTACAGTTCTGTATCAGAGAGCTCATCTTACATTTTAAAATTCTCCCTAAAATATCTTCTCTAGTCTACTTATTTTAGTTTTTCTCCACCATTGTCTTAAGGTTGGGTTCTTTTTACACTTAAGATGATGTACAGTCCAGTGGTATAGACCAGCCTCAAGTCTACAGACTTGAGTTCCGTTCCTGGTTCTGATGCCAGTTTCCTCTTACCTTGGAAAAGTCAGCATACTGTTCTAGGTATTGTTTGTTCCATTGTCAAATGGAGATAACGATACTTAATCGCATCCGTAAAATGCCACGGAATAGTCTAGTGAAAGCACTAAGAGTAAGTGCCAAGCGTAAGTAATAGAAAATGAATCTTTCATTATCTAAAAAACCATTGTTTAATATTAGGAAAAAAGTGCAGCAACTCAAATAGAACTACACTTGATTTCAAGCAGGAGTTCTTCATGCAGAGTAATTGCAACTGTATTTCCAAGTAAATTACTTTTTTATACATATATTATAAAAATGACTATTAGTTGTGACATTTTTCATCTATAAACTGTCTTTAGTCACAAACAGCATTGTATAGATAGAAACCAATCAAGTTGTGCAAGTTTAGCTGCCTTTCAGAAAAATGGCCTAAACCATAAAGGGATTCCAAAGATGAACAAGGTGTTTTCAATATAGTCGTCTTTTTATTTCAACTCATTTTCCTCCATCTCATCTAAGTCGATAGTAGAGTGAATTACTGTTTCTTTTACCTTTCTTTGGATGTATAACTCAAATTGAGGAAGAGGATATTTGTTGGCAACATAAAGGCAAACATCCTTTTTTAGAAGAAGTGAAACAGAGACTTGAGTATTTAAGCAAAGTAGACAGATTTTGACCATCTTTCTAGAGAGGCCACACCTACTAAATTATATGCAGCTCAGCTGGTTAATTTTGGAAGAGACTGTGCTGAGTCACTGCTCTGAGCTGACACTTGTTTGAAGAAGCATGGGTGTTCCCAAAAATTTTTGATTATCCCTCTACCAGCTCACTTTATTGTGAAGACATGATAAAATGTTTCCATTAGCCTCAGAAAAATCATATGTATTTATCCATATCTGCCTATGTTTGAGGACCTGGTAGAAGGGGGAAGCAGGGGATGAGCAGGTCCCAGCTAAACTGTTCTTGAGCAAGGGATTTGAAGACCAAGGGTTTTTACACAGCAGGGAAAGGAGGAGTACATTTTCACTACAGGTGTCCACTGGAAACATGGAGTTTCCTATATGCATTCCAGAGACCCAAAAATATATTTTTCACCAATGCAATGCTGGTACGGAAATTCCAAGAATTATCAATGTTGTTTTGAATTGTGCGGTGTTTCACATGCTGCTGTTCTAAATCATCAGCTGTTTCCATTGTCCTGTGGTGGGAAAGAGCTTTCCCTGCTTCAAGATCATTTGGAAAAAGGAAAAAACATGGCCCTATCCCACACACCACGTAGAAACTTCAGAAATTCAGAAAGTAAAACCGCTGGCTGTTGGACAAAACCAAAGATGACGTCCAACTACCACTGAAAACAAAGACAGGTGAAGCAAGGTAGAAACCTAAGCACTTTGGGGTTTTTTTCCCATTATCAGAAAGCCAAAATTCAGAGGAATCTAACAAAGATCAATCATTTACAAATGTTTAGCCAGATTCACACACTACAACCAGCCCTGAAGCAGTTAGGTACTACAAGAGCTTCTTGCTTAGAATGCAGTTAGCTTGCCTCTATTTGATAGGCACAGCCACAGCACCAGTAGTTTCAGCTGAATGCCCTTGAAAGCAATATTCATACTGTTAGCGTGAGAAAGCAATTTTGGGACTCAAGTACATCGCCATCATAATGATAGATGAATTATAAAAGTAGAGTATTTTGTCTGTACTTAAAGAATATCCTTGATCTTAACACATCTTGGACTTTCTATTTATTGCTTGCCATTTCCAAAGAAATGTCCTCTGCCCGTAAAAGCTGATATAATGGTACTCCTGCACCTCTGAGCTCCCCAAACACACTCATTTCTTTGTCTGTAAATGTACTGCTTTTAGGCACCAACCCAGGTTCTGAATTGCATCAAATCATGTGTAAAATTATCCAATTCAGGCATTAAAAAGGCATACATAACATCTTGAGAGCTTGTCTTACTTGCCTGCTTCTGTTATCTAATACGACAGTATTTCTTTCAGGCTTCTGTTGAGCAAAACATCTGATGCTGCGTATGTTGCACATTGCATGTTTTAGCATTGCAGCCGCTGGCACAAATATTTCCACTTTTAGAATGACAACTGATTGCAATGATTACCAATAAAGAATTCTTTTTCAGATGATTAGAGAAATGACTTGCATTCACTTCAAGCTTTTCTGCCACTTTAAGGATTGTTTTTACACGCTCTAATGAAATTATTTTTGTGATAAAACTCATTTACAATACACAATCACATTCTTGCATGTAAGCAATACAAAGATGTCTCTTCATTCATTCATTTTATAGAAGAACATAAGTCCTAGTCTGTAAGAAAATGCCAGTTCCTCTAAGACTCCATTTTAAAATGTAAACTCGAGAGTATACAATGTCAGAGCCAGAAGCATTATTCAAGAAACATCTATGTCTTTATTCCTGAATTAGATACTGATAGATAAAAAGATCCACTTAAAAATTATCATCTCATAGAAGACTGAAATTGCTCAAGTGCAATACACTTTTTTCCTAACCTTTGTATCTTCAGAGTGATTGTGAACTTGCAGGTATATGAGTGGAACGTAGAAAATTGTGTTCAAGAAAAAACACAAATGAATTTCCATTCTTCCTTCATAAATGCTGTTCATATGAATCTCTGCCTGTATCTTCAAATAGATAAGGCATTGGATCATTTTGATGGTCAGCTGTCAAATAAGGCCAGATACATTTCCCCAAATGATCCTCTGTAAGCACATTTATTTTAAATTGAAATTTGTTTCTTCTTATTTATTTAAACTGGAGTTCAAATAGGCATGGTTTCTATCATAGCGTGCTACAGTTTGGAAATAGGGCATTAACTTGCCTGAAACCTATAAATGTTTCAGCAAATACCTCCACTGAAAAACACTACTTGCGAATTAACAGGGGGAGCAGAATGAGAATTACTGAGAAAACCTTATCTTTCCATCACTGTCAGCCAATAGGTGTTGGCTGACTGGCTTAAAAAAGAACAAGACTAGTCCCCATAACCTTAACTCTCTTGTATGATTCCGATGCGGGTATGACGATGCAGAGATGCTAGATATGTTGAGTTTGTAAAGGTACATGGGATCAAGAAAATGGAACTTGAACAGTGATCAGCGGTGACACAGAAAAGCCCATCCTAAAACATTTCCGTACTTGTGCAGTCTTGGGGGCACACAGCCAGATCTTTGCTCTCGATCACATCACAGGTGCCGTCCGGACAAGTCTTGATACTCGGGGTGCACGTGGAATAGTTTGTGGTGATGCCTGTTAATACAGAAACAGACAGCTGCACGAATACCACGAGGCTTTGAAGGAAAGCTTATTGCATCTTCTCAGTGCACACTGACACACCAAAGCATAGGTTACTTTTCTTTTTAAAATAAACATCTCTGAATATAAATACCATCTGCTAAAGTAACAGGCAAGACAACAGCTAAAAGCAACAGGAGGAAATATATTTTTCACTATGTTTTCTGCTTTTGACAGCCCTTTGGGCATGTCACTTACAGTTACTGTATTGCTTGAAAAGGAGCTAGTTGGCCATTTTGAGACCAAAGAGCAGCTTTCACAACTAAGGATGTCTGTACCCAATTTCACACATACTTGAACACGAAGGTTACAAGCAAAGAGAAGGAGCAATAGTCATGCAGTTTGAAGGGACAAAGCATTGGCACGGAAGCACTGTCAGGAGTACTGTCACCCGTCAGGTCTGCGCTACAGACCACAGCAAACAGAGACAACAGAGACACGGCTTCTGTGCTCACTGACTGTCTGCTGGGGCATACCTGCAGCTCATGGGCATGTTCCAAACTCAATTCATGGTCGCAGAGTGTATGTTGCAAGCTGTAATTCACCCATTCCAGTTACACTGCTGCAAATCCAATTCACTACCTGGTGGTTTACATATCGTGTTCAGCATGACCAGGGACAAGATCAAGAATGATCATTCCAACTTAACCTCATTTTCCTTTCTGGTGCACATTTCATTTGGGTATTATGATTAATTTTTCTAGCCTCAGCTTCCGTGTAGTTTACTATACCATGTTGTCCGGCCAGAATACATCACTTTATATCTACGGAAGTCAAATGCACAATTATGACGAAACAGAAGCTTGATTTCACACAACAGAAATGTACCTTTTCCACTCCCCTGTCTCCACTGGCACCTTCCTGCTAGCACACCCAAGCCACCACATTCTTCACATTCAGCACGGTGCTTACTCTCTGCGCAGGAGTCAGGGCAGTCCTCCTCTTTTTTTAAAACTGTTGGGAAGAGTGTTTGCTGTCAGTGTGGGACAAGGGAGATGAATACACGAGCAAGTCAGCTCAAATCAGAAGGAAAACTCTGTTGTCAGGGGTAGAAAGGAAGGAAAGATGGAGAAAGGAGAGAAAGACTGAACACTGACTGACCCAACTATCAGTAGCTAACAATTTAAGTCCAGGTGTTTCTCTTCTGTGAAATAAAAGACAAACATGATGGCATAGTTATCTTTGCTTGATAGCACACTGCCAATGCCTAGAACTGTAGAAACGCGCTAACATACTAATAATAAAAAAATGGGGACCAAAAGTACTTATAGCTTCATAAAAAACTTTTATTTAAGGGAAAACACTTAGTACATGGGCTAATGCAGTAGTAGCCCAAAGAGCAACAGCTAGGAACGTGTGGTTTCAGACAGCACAAGGCTCTTGCAGAAACAAAAGTCCACTGCAGGCTTTTGTTTCTTCTTCCTCAACCCATTCGCTCTTGGCACAGGAGTTGTGATATGATACAAGGGAATGGAGGCAATTGTCAGGTAGAATTGTAAGGTTCTGCACAAAGTGTGATATGGTTTGGAGAGAAATGATTATGTTTCCAATGTAATCTTCCTCTGCTGTGGCTGTTGTAGAATATTTCTAACATTCTGCCCTTATGAACTTTTCAGTAAAATGAAGTCATTGCAATTGCTACATGAGTGTTAAGCAAAAAAAAAAAAAATTAAAAAAGGAAAAATTGGAGTGAAAAGTAAGGAGAAAGACAATTGAATAAATATACTTAGACCAGAGATTTGTAGTTTCATATATATACACACTGGGTTTTTTTTTCTTCTATAGGAATATGTGAAATACAAAATAAAGGTCGCACAGACACACAAAAAAAGATTCATCAAATCAAATGTGATCATGAACATTAGGAATTGCATATGATACACCATCTTTCTGTGCATTAGTTCTTCAAAGAAATATCTGCTACAGGCAGGTCTGATTCAGAACTCAAAGTGCAAACTTCACGATCTGTATCTTGTAACTCAGACTCATTTTCATTGTTAACGCCATCAGTTTATAGATCACCCTACCAAAGCATCACCTAATACTTATAACTCTTGTAAATTGTTCTAGTTGACTCAGGTACTTACGAGTTCCTTCCAGGACAATAGTGAGGAGGGTTTTGGTATGTTTCCTGCTCTGCTTGTCTGTAGCTTGAATAGTGTATTGTATTTCCTTGCATTCAGGTCTGCGTAGCACAGAGGAATCATTCACATAAAGGCTTCCCCATTTGTCTTCTCGGCCTTGAAGTATACTGACGGGATAGCAGCTTACGTTGGGGGACAGTAACTTGTAGGTGATGTTCACACCATGGAATTTCATACAGTTTTCGATGCAGATTTTTCCAATCTAGGCTCAAAGAAATCACAGACACAGAAACAAAACAATGCATCAAAAATATTCTCTGCTTCCTAAAAATATCTGAAAGAAAACTAAGCGTATTACACTTTGCAGAGTTCAGCATTTATCTTGGGTTTACAGATTTGGTATTTTATACCAATGCAGTACGTGACTGCTTCAAATGTGATTTATCCTCAGTAAAAATGAGATGTAAAGCATTACACCATTGTCTTCAGGCTAACAGTGGTAATACAAAAAGCTTTGACCCAAAGACTCAGTAATATTTGGTCCCTACTGCTGATGGTCAGCAGTGTTCAATGAGAACAAGATCCTGTAATTTGGGGAAGTATGAGTTCAGTCCCTGCTCTGTCCCAGGCTGTTCAGTGAGAAAAACTTTGGTTTTGCTTGAAAAAGCAAACAGATCAGTATGAACAAAGCTGAGACTCAAGTAAGACAGAAATAGAAATTGCTAATACATAATTTTCACAATATTACAGTCGAAAAGTTTCTGGCCAACGGAGCTGTCTGAAAGCCTTAAAAGGAATAAGAACTTCATTGTTTCCCATTTGCAATTTTTTAAGCATTTTTATGTAAAAATGAAAATATGTTGGTTTGCCATATTTGAACTTCTGCCTGCCAGAATATCTATGCTAGAGCACTCTTCAGTCTGAAACAATTTATCTAAGAAACACAGGAATGTAAAGCCCCGTCTCCTATAGGAACTGATCCAAAGCTCACTTTGGTTTTTCCATTTACAAGAGTGGGATTCAGATCAGGTCCAGAGGCATTGGCTTTCCTTGCAGGAAAAACCACAATGTGAAGGGTGGGGTGTTATTCAAGTGGGGGGTGGGGTGATGGATTCTTTTCAAATGCTGCAGTTAAGATGTGTTTTCAAGTAACACCACTTCTGGTAAAAGCATATCTGTACATCTTAGGTTTAGCATTCTCGTTAAAGAATGTTAAAAAAAAACAAAATGGTTTTTTGGACTGAGACCTCTTCCTATGAACCTGGACTATTTCAAGTCAGAGAAGAAGCTTTTGCAGTCCTAGAACCATACTTTGTCATAGAATAGTCCCACTTCATCTAATTTATTCCCGTTCACATCACTGACTGGGCACTTGGCACCACTGGTTGGGTTTGTTGGTGGCAGAATAACATACTAAGACTATTGAAGCAATCAGAAGCGAGGCTATTTCTTCCACGCTGTCTCCTCTCCACAGCATGCTGGGACTGGCAGGAAGAAAAAGAAGACAAGACTTCAACTATTCATAAACTCTGTCTAGACATATGGTCTAGACAGGTCCCTTCCAGAACCACATCATCTTAGCTTTGGTGCCACGTTACAACTGGCAGTGTTTTGCAACGGCTTAGATGGTGTTACTTTGAGGTAGTAGGAGAACATAATGATGCTTCATGGCATTAACTCCCCACCTGGAGTACTGTGTCCAGCCCTGGGGGCCCCAGTACAGGAGAGACATGGAGCTGTTGGAGCGAGTCCAGAGGAGGGCCACGAAGCTGATTGGAGGGCTGGAGCACCTCTCCTGTGAGGACAGGCTGAGAGAGTTGGGGTTGTTCAGCCTGGAGAAAAGAAGGCTCCAGGGAGATCTAATTGCGGCCTTCCAGTACCTGAAGGGGCCTACAGGAAAGATGGGGAGGGACTGTTTATCAGGGAGTGCAGTGACAGGACAAGGGGTAATGGGTTTAAGCTGAAGGAGGGTGGATTTAGATTAGATGTTAGAAAGAAATTCTTCACTGTGAGGGTGATGAGGCACTGGAACAGGTTGCCCAGCGAGGCTGTGGAGGCCCCATCCCTGGAAGTGTTTAAGACCAGGTTGGATGAGGCTTTGGGCAACGTGGTCTAGTGGAGGGTGTCCCTGCCTGCAGCAGGGGGGTTGGAACTAGATGATCTTTGAGGTCCCTTCCAGCCCAAACCATTCTATGATTAACCTTTATATAGACTAGATTAAACTGTCCTTTCTGTCTACTCTGTCATAACTGATTTTTCCAGGCACCTTTTTGATCAACAGAAATTTCCTGCAAAGGGGATGGAGAAGACCCCATAAATTCAGGGTCCTCAAAGAACAGATTATCCTTAGAGTAACACATGCACCAATTTTGCATTCTCTGTTTAATTTGAAGTGAAGCTAAAAATGCCCCCTCAAGAAGTTTCTACAAGAAAGATGGGCTTTCTCTTTTTGCCCAATTCCACTAGGTAAAGCCCAAGCTTGTAACTTTGCCCCGAACTGCAGGTTCTGGAGTCAGCACAGCTCTCCGATGCAGCAGAGCACAGCACCAGCAGAAGGAGCTGCTAGTTTCTCTTTCTCATGAGGAGGGTGAAATAGAGCCTGGCAATCAGGACATCAACATACAGGGGACGAACCTACAAAGGTGCATTTTGCAAGACACACAATAGTTAACACAGGAATACCATTATCAGAAATAGGAACGGAAAAATCAATCTTTTGAGCTCCAGCGTTTAATAAAGTCTGGATAATGATAATGTTCCTCTTCACTGAATTCCAGGGACATTTGGACGTATAAGCTCTCTAAAAATCTCAGCCGATGTTATTCATCACTTGTCTCAGTAAATGTCAATAGAGCTTTAAGCCCTTTGATAAGTTAAATGCCACTGGGCAGGCCTGTACTGTCAGGCCATGCTTCTGTTATTCAATTCATTTAGCTGCTCAAATAGACAAATGGCATCAGCCCAGCAGTTAATAATTTCTTCACGCTCTTGTGTTTTCCTTAGGGCAAGAGACAGTTCAGCCTTCATATTGATTTGGCCCAGTACTTTTCCTCACTGCTCTGGCACATCACAGCTAATTATGCAGACGACTTTAATCATGTGAAGTGCTGAGGACTAAGCTGCTTCCATTGACTTGTGCTCCAACCTGAGCACACTAAATTCAAACCCAGCCTCAGAAGTGGATGACAGTAACTGATCGAGACCATCTCCAGCACCAGGATGAGTTTTGCATTTTGCTGGTGAAGAATCAGAACAAAATCTCTTTGTGCATTTGTGTTTAGGCAGCACAAAGAGAGATCTCTTCCCACAGGCTTGGAGTTCCTTCTTGGCAGAAACAATTTGCCCTGCTACTGCTGCCACCCAGTGAAACTGCACAGTCAGTGGGAAGCACCATTGTTTCCAGAAACCCTAAAATTCCCTTTCAGATGTCTGACTGTCCGGACAACATACAAAACCAGCAGCCTTAAAAGTTAGCTGGTTTTTTTTGTTTGTTTGTTTTTGCATTCTGGAACTAGAAAACTATATACTCCCAGACTTCAAACAAATGCGTTAAGGCAATCCAGGGTACACACTGATAAACATTGTTTAACCAAATTTAATGTGGAATTAATTCATTCATAATATTATTGTATGCATACACCTATATGTAAAATCTGTGTGCATATATATATGCACACACATAAAAATAAATTAATTCATATATATTCATACACACCTAACAGTTAAGTTTCCACACTTTTTAAATTACAGTCATATTGTGACATACACACATTTGGGGCCATCTTCTAAGAGCTAGACTATGAGTATCTTACACACCTATGCTGTTATTTCTTTTAGGGGGAAACCCACTGATTTTACCCTACATGTCCAGGCAAGGACTATTTACACCACCGAGAATACAGCTTTCACAATCTGGCACTACAAAAACCCCAAACCTAACATCAAAAATATTGTGATCTGCACAAAAAGCACAGAATATGCTCTGAAGTTTCTAATGGACTGCGAATTTAAAAGTTGCAGCGACAAGGTATCACAAAATGTCATAAAGTAGCAACTTTTTGTAGGCAGCCTGTTGCGTGAGCACGCTTGGTATGGTTGTCTTCTTTAGGATATTCAGTGCAGACTACGGGTAAAATGTCCCTTGATTAAGCAGTAGCATTTTTATTGGTCGTGTAAAGCCTGTTCCCGTACTCTGAAGAGCTATCAGGCCATAGTGCATTTCATCAGATTAAATATAAGAACATGCAATATATCTTTCATTTTTCTTTCTTTTTACAATTAGCCAGAGGCTTAGATTAATAAAACCGAATTCTTCCTTAGAAGTCTTCTAATAAATTGGTTTTCTCTGCAATTGGGATGATCATATTTTAGTCTCAATCCTCCTCTCTGCTACAAATACAGGGGCAGTTTCATAGCTTTATTTAGTTATGAGGTATACTTTCCTGCAGCTCCCCCAAAACGGCTCATCACTTATGTTTTTAATATTGACTTCCATAATATTAATTATATTGAACTAGTTCCTTATTAATGTACATGTTCCATAGGAACTACATTGTAATTTTCAGCTGATTAATGTCAACCTGTTAGAAAGTGTTTCTGGAAGGCATTATTAATGGCAATGGTGGTGATTAAGCTAAAATGAGGGTTAAACTAGGAAACACGTTAATTTCTAACTAGCCATTATCACGAGAAAAGCCATTAACACACTGGAATATATAGAGCTGGGACTCCAATAGCTGGGACAAACTTCTTTTTTTGCCCTTCGTATTTTTCCAGTTATTTATGCCTAAATCACTCATGGTAAGTCCTTCTGTCTCTATTTCCCTCTATTAATACTTCCATGTGTAACCCTTCTTCTGTTATTATGTGATGGGAGAGCTAGTGTCCAGTCTACCTGCTATCCACTACATCTAGCAATGGTCACTATGTGCTATTGATAGCACGTTTTTCATTGAATTCTACTTAATACAGCTACAATCAACACTTTAATGCATCCTGCCCCAGTGATCTATCTACTAAGCCCCGTCTCGAACAGAGAGTGAAAGTATAATTAACACAGTTCTTACTTGTGCAAAACGTTCAGCATTTCTGTTCACTGTGAACTGGTAAGTCACGTTTGGAAACTGAATGCTGACAGGGAGGATGGAGACATTGAAATGAAGCATCACCGATCTTTCTGGGCCATGAAATTCTGTGTCATTCACCAAAACATCCAACTGGAAGGAACGATGCTCTGTGACTGAAATACTTTTATTCAGTACCAGTTCTGCAAAAGAAAAGATTAGTCTATTACCAACCTAGATTATCTGCAAATGTATATTTTGATACCGCAATCCCAACAAAATTATATCAAAAGTATATGTATCAAAGTTAATCCTAACAGGAAACACAAGATGAGTTAAATATGAAAATACGCTCCTATGGAGTTACGCTCTTTGCCATTCAACATGTTAGGAGAGGTTCTCTCACTGCCATGCTGAGAATCCTACAATCAGAATCTCTTGCTTATCAATATACACAACATGATCTCATACACTGCCTATCCCAGAGATGCACAAACTCCATGTTTTCGGTACATGTTTAAAACTCAGCATTTGCGTAACTTGAAATTGCTCAGCTTTCTTCAGCTCAATATTTACAAAATGCTTGGAAAAGTTCAAGAGCTTATTGGTGAATTACGAACAAGCAACTTCTCCTTTACTTGAAGAAAGAGATCTTACTGTACTCATGTTGAGTTCCCCTCACTTGGCTGCCATTTGGGCTGAAGTGGATTTCATCAAAGATGTGCTCTACCCGAAACGTTTCACTTATCCAGGGATCATCGGTAATGATGGTTCCTGTGTATTTCTTTCTGCTGTTTTCAAGGGGATAAATAGGTGTGGTGTCCGCATCGTACACAGTTAGCGTTGCAAGGACAGTTCCCTAGAAGGAAATAATAAATGACATTGCTGAATGATCTTGAAGCTTTTTCCCCCCCGACACATGTTAGATTGAAATACTGGTCAAATAAAGCCTTACAACTTTCACTTAAGCCCACTTTCATTCAAATTCATTTTAAGCTTCAGGTCACCACTATTTCACACCTATTTGGATCTGAGTTAGAAGCTCAAAAGAAGATGGCAGTGAAAAAGAACTTGTCATAATCATTTGAGTCTATGTTTAAATACAGTGCTAAACTTTTGAGGTAGGAACTGAGTGCACATGCACAGCTCTTGATTTATTTTTATTTTTTTCAAAACAATAACCAATGTTATTCTACAATACTACTAAAAAAACCAGGTAATATGTGCGCTTAAAAGACAAGAAAGTACATTCAGACAGGTCAAACTCATTACCTGAAATGGCAGAAGTGGCCTGGGTTGGCTGTCTTCTGCTTAGTCTACTAGATTGCTGTTCTCTACCTGGACACAAGCCATAAGGCCTTTAAAATTTTCATTAGCACTTCAGTTGTTTCAAGTTCACTTAGTTACTAGAAAAGATTGAAAGTTTCCAAATATAATGCTTTTTTTTCCACTGCAAAATACCAGTGAAATTCACTGTCATCTGAACGCTTTGTAGACATGTAATTTTGAAGAGAATATTTTACTTTACAAAGAAGTTTTATGAGGCCCTTCATTTTCTGTCATCCAGAGTTAAATCAAACTCCCAAATCTCAACATTTTCAAAAGTTAAAAGGAATTACTTTATGCCCAGGCAAATATGATGTTTATAGGTATCTTGTCAACACTTGTTCTAGTCGGGAGGTGGCAGCAAACCCCCAAAATCATTCTTTTCCCTTCCAGATACAAACATGAGCAAAATATACTTTATAGAAAAATCTGACTGAAAAAAAAAAACCTGCCGCTGTTGTGAAACAGAAGTCCTCTCATGAAAAATGCATCATTTACACCCCAAAATAAGTGCCTTCTCTATACCATTGACTTATGAAGGGTTGTTGCTCCAGTGGGAAGAGCCAAAGAGCCCACTTCCATATTTCTCTACCGAAGCAAGGGGTGTACGTGTGCAGGGGACAGACACAAAGACATCCAGGGGTTTAGACCTCTCAGAAGATCACCTTGGGGTGGTAAGGGAAAAGTGGGAGGGCACCGTTAAAACCAGATCCTTAACAGCCTGACACTGGAAACTTTAACACCTTCACAGGTGCAATGTTTGTCTACAGCAGACAATCGCTCCTCCTAACTTTCTGTTAACTGGTACAGCACCCTAGTGTTCTGAAGGGAGTTCTGATGTCTCATCTAGATTTGCACGTATGGGAAGGGTACACACATATGCCTGTTGTAACAACTCTCAGTTTTAGCCACCTGGGGGAAGCCACCCTGTAACAAATACAGAGCAGAGCTCATAGTGGGGAGATACAGCAATCCTGACCACAGTCCTAGCAATGGCCCATCCTGGCCTCAGGAACTGCTGATGCTTCTTTACACTGTTTAAATCCTGACCCAAACTCTTCTTACAGACTTTCAGGGTCTGAATAAAATGTGACTCCGGGGAGAGGAATTCTACAGACAGCATTTTACAATCGCAGCTCTGAAAAGCGCGGTCACGTGCTTGATGCTTGAGATCCATTACCCAGAGCATGGCGCTTCCCAGCCGTCATGCCTCCCACCACTGTGCTCCTACTTCAGGGACTAGATAAAAGGGGAACATTACCTCCTTCCTGTTGAACTCCACGACAGCATCTGCAGTATCAGTGCCATTGGGAAGGAAGGGAGGAGAGTCATCTTCATCTAACACGTTCACCAGGAAGGGCACCTCAACCTGCGTTTCCCTGAAGCCCTCTCTCGCGGTACATTTGGCAATCAGCTCATATCTCTCTCTCTCTTCTCGATCTAGGCGCTGTGTCACACTCACACCAGTGGTGTTCTCATTGTATCGAAAGGGCATACCTTCAGCTGAAAAACATAGCCACAGTATAAATAGGGACAATCACTTCCCATTATAGCAGTCTGATAGTTTTCTTCTTTAACACTTTTTTGCAATCCAGTAATTCCACTTGGACACCCTGACTGCACGATAAAAGGCAGACTCAGAAGTGAAACAGAAGAAAGTTGTAGGGTTTTATTAGGTTAGACAGAAAACAGGGGATAGATGGGAAGATCCTACAGTCTAGAAGAAGCACAATTTAAAGCTCAGGATATTCTCAATCTGCTCTTAGCAGGTGCAAATTTCTAAAACCAATCTTTTTTCCTTCAGGAAGGAGACAATCCTCCTTCCCATCCTCTCTGTTTATCTCAAAGGCAGAATCTTCAAGGCTCAGTTCACGTTTGCAATAGAATTTCCTTTATAGAATCAATCTAGAGGATCTACTACAAAACGTATCGTAACAGTGCAGCTGTTTACATCTGTTGCTGGTGCCTGAGTGGCTCAGTTCCTGTTTTACCTGCCAGCAGTTTGTAGGAAATGCTGAGATTCTGACACAGATGATGAACCGAGGGTAACTGGAGCTGATGAAATATGCCAGGTGGTTTATTCTCTTTGATGTGAAAGGAGAGATCCATTTCTGTGAAGCAAAGCTGCCTCGCTGTCAGGGAACTGCAAGCTGGTGCAGTAGCATTGATCAAGGAGAGGAAAACCGTGGCACGCGTAGCAGAGTCACATTCCTTCTCTTGGAAAGGGTGGGAGGAAAGGAAGACATACAGCATCACCTTTGATAATGGCATCCAGTTTCCTACAGCTTCAGAAAAAAAAAAAAAACACCAGAAGAAATACTTTATAGAAGACAAGCCAACATTTCTTTTACCTGTTTTGTGCTCTAGTCCATTATTCCACAAACAACCATGTAGTCCTATTACATAATAAACCAATTCTTGAATACATCATCTGCTGGTTGAAAGACTTTAAATCTTAATAACCCCAGTAAGCCAAAAAACCATGGGTGTTACCACCAATTTACATTGCAGAACCTCACAGAAGGATATCAATACTCTGTAAGACACTGACATAAAACAGATCACTATCAGTAATCAGCTTTTTGACAGGACTGTTTTTTGGAGGGACTAGAGCAGAGTCGGGGGGCATCAGGGAAAAAGAGTGTGCAAAATGGTAACAAATATTTAGGACAGACCCACAACAACTACTAATGGTCATTTAAGTAACAGTGTTCTGATAGTTTATACCAGTTGAGGATATGCCCAAATTGTTTATGCTTAGAGAACAAAGTGCTTTATCATTCTGAAGCATAAAGAGCTGATTAAAAGATAACATAGAAGTTAAAGTCAACCTGTGGCATCTACTAATACAGCCTCTAGGCTTAATTACTTTGATTACCTTGCTTTGACTACAGACAGAATGATAGTATCTCTGTAACAGACCTAATTCACTTGAAAAGATGATCTAGGTCACTTTGATGCATAGGAGTAAAACACGACTCTCGAGTTCTAGATAGCTATTCTTCCTTAGTTCAGTTACAAATAGCTATCTGACATTCATCAACACCGAGTACCAAAACTGCAGCAAAAATGGGTGAGATATCCAGCACTCAGAAATTGAAAAATAAAGCAGAAGGTGTCTGAAGTTGAACACAAACATCAAGGCACCCAAGTCAATGCGTAGTGTTGATATATGGCTCTTACAAACTCAAGACAGTTACTACAGACTCTCTCCAAAGCAGAATTTCTGCAACTGATCACAGTGGTATGCCATTAACTCCTCACCCATTTCCTCCTCCACCGTCTAATGACACCTGATTTCCTCATAGATCAAAATCACCAAAACCAATTTACTGCTACAGCATAAAAGAAGGGGAAAAAACAGAGATAATTCGTGTCTGTAGTTCAATAGTAAACTTCTCTAACAAAGCCAAATCTCAAGAGAGGGAGAGAGGTACACTTAACCATTTCTTCCAAGAGCTGTTTGGCGTTACCTGCCAATATGCTTTGTGAATCCACATTACCAGAGTTGAAGGACCGTATATATATGAGTTGGAACTAATGTAACTGCATCGGTCACTAAGCGCCCAGCATTAACACAGTGGAACTGGCTTAATTTGCATCACTGGATGAACAAACTGCAAATCTCAATGTAAAGCTGTGACTTACACAGCTGTGAAACACAGAAAAAAGAAATATTTCAAGTAACGCAACTTTCCCATCGCACTGGAGTCCACAGTGTGAGCAACCGGATCTGCCTCAGGTCAGCGTTTACTTTGGCATATGGTTCGCTCCATTTGCTGTGGGTTTTGTTGGGTCCGATTCCTCACTGTAAAAGGGCGGGTATGTTTTTTCCAAATGTGATGCTCATGTACTGATGGATAAGTCTCATGATGTGAATGTACTTTGCTTTAACCACAGATACTTCAACAAGAAAAGCTAGTCTTCTCATACTTACACAGCATGTTAAAGTCTTCTCTATCCAGGTTTTTGCTGAGGTAGAGAAGTCCTGTTTTTTCTCTGATTTGAAACCAATGATTTTCATGGGATCTTGCTCGAGAAATGATGAGATTCTGGCACAGATGAAAGTGGGCGGTTTCCCCATGTGAATCCCTCAAGGCATGGATGCGCAGGAGCGGCGTACCCGCTGGCTGATCAATGTAGACATTCTCCGAGTACTCTTTCCTGGGGAAGTAGAGACCAAAGGCGACTGCAAAGGAAGGCAGACGACAGGAGAGGTGCTTCCAGTTAAATGATTTTTGCACTGCCATTTTCTTAAGAGATGCATTTCTAAAGAACCAAAGGCTTCATTCTCTAAGGATTAAAGAAGCATTAAAAAAGATGTGGAAAAAGGCAGATCCTCATCTGGTGTAAATAAATATAGTTTTACTACACTCAAGCCAGGGACATAGCCACCAAAAATTTGGCCTATGGTTTATGTTCAAGTTACAAAATCATCTGCTTTTTGGAAGCAAAACCACTTTGCTGTAAACACGGCCCAGTTTAAGCAGAACACTTAATGAACCTCTGCTTGCCAAATGTTTCTTAAGTTCATATCTGGAGCCCTCAACTGTAATTCCATTAGCTCACAGATGCCATTCAAGAAAAGAAAAACTCTCTGATGAAATCACGTACTTTAAAAGCCTGAACACACTCTCTGTTGAGAGAAAACACAGAAATTTATCAATGGCTCGCACACTTTTCCTGGGATTACGTAAAATCTCTCTTACACAGGAGTCCTTTTGTGGATCACTCCCTTTGTAAATAGGCCAGCATGATACTTTTGGTACAGAAAACGGGAGTTGTTTAAATAAAATTGATATGAAAGTCTTATAAGTATTTTAAATATGACAGATGGGAAAGCTGAGAACTGACTTGCCCGAAGTGGGGAGGGAAACATACGTTTATTTTTAATACAGTGCCTGTGACTGACCCATTGCTCTCCAATTTTTCCCCCTCTGACATTGCAGACATGTACATTTAGTAGGTCTCAACTGCCCCTTGATGCCTGTTTCTTCAGCTGATCTCATCTTACCAGGTCACTTTGCAGCGGCCTCTCCACCCCGTTGTTCCAGTGCTTCCCTTCCAATTCTACCGCTTGCAAGTATGATCACAGAGGAGTGCTTGACAAGCAAGGAGGGTACAAAGGGATGCTCACTGCACTCATGCCACTGACACACTGGAACTGTCACTCTCGCACTTCACCTGCACTGACCGCCCGCACTTGCTCCCATACAAAAGAACACTAGCATATTACAGAATTTTGCATCATTTTATCTGATTTGATAAGGAGTAAGGAATATAAAAGGCTCATGCATCTGCTGAACAAATGAAGACAATAACCATTTCCATATGTTACTAATACAAGACTATCTGAGCTTAAATCAAGCCAGATACAACTGGAAACGACGCTAATACAGCAGTAAAATTAGGGATATAATGCCAAAACATCTTCAAAATAGCATCAGGCTATAGCACATATCTATTTTTTTATTATTATTGGATCCATACACTGTTCTACTGAATGGAGAGGACCGCAAACAAACTGTAAACAAGAAACCTCTAATTTCATTTGGAAATACCACAGAAATCACTGTACCTTGCAATGATTCATGACATCATCAGTATCCCTGGATGCAATTACATCCATGAGATTTACAGAGGCCCATTATTTTTTCTACATATACTTTGTAATATATGAATAAAGTGGTAAAGTAATACTGTAGGTGAATTTGCTCCAAAGTAATTAATTCAAAGGGAAGCCAACAAAATTTTTTTTTGAGAGTTTTAGAAAAGCATTAAATGCTGACGTCTCCTGTCTGGAAGAAAACTATTACTTCTGATTCTGGCTCTATCACCATCTTTTTTCTAAGTTAGTTTCCTGAGCATTCATAATAAATTTCAAATATTTTTTCAGTCCCTCTGTCTTTTTTTAAAGTGCAGGAAAACCTGGTGAATATGCACTGCTAGAAGTCCTAACAAACTGGTTCGTTAACAAGAGGGATAAGGTGATACCCAAATAGCAAGCCTAGCCCCAGGGCAAGCAAATAGATTTCCTTGAGGTATTTTCTATAGTTTTGATTCTAGAATTATCAAAACTTCCTCATGAGAACTTCAACACTGAAAATTCACTACTCAAAACTAAAAAATGACTTTTAATCCACTGATGCATACAGATGAGGCTTATACAACATTAGCAACAGGACAAAGGAATATTTACTTATTTTGTCATTTCCAAGACTGGGGTAAACAGTTCTAATGTGAGTGGTGATGCGTGCTCAGCATCACAAACACATCACGCAGCGCAAGAACCTGCACCGTAGCAGACACATGAAATCACCTCCAGTAAATGAACATATAGAAAGTAGAGTATATCGATAATATAGAACCATAGAATGGTTTGGGTTGGAAGGGACCTCAAAGATCATCTAGTTCCAACCCCCCTGCCATGGGCAGGGACACCCTCCACTAGACCACATTGCCCAAACCCTCATCCAAGCTGGCCTTGAACACTTCCAGGGATGGGGCATCCACAACCTCTCTGGGCAACCTGTTCCAGTGCCTTACCACTCTCACAGTAAATAGTATGAATGTGTAAAGTGTGAAATTAGAAAAGAAAAGGAAAAAATGGGGTATTTTGAGTTGTAATTAATTATTTCCTTGTCTTAAACAAGTATGTTAATCTTTCTATGCTTTGTTCTACAAATCTGGGCCCACACGACATGCTAGCATGTGCACAGTCACGTTTAACAAAGCACATGAATAATTATGACAGACATTACAACTTAAATGTCTGAAACTCTGCATGCAACTACACCTCAGCAAAGGTCAGCATCCTGACTGCTCTGCATTTGAAAGAAAAAGGTAGTATTTATGCTGCAGACTCTCTGAAATTCTTTAGCATGAGTTCACAGGAGCAGTCTTCTCCATTCTCAGAAAAAAAGGAGAAAAAATCCTGTAATACAAACATTTGATTTCTCTGTAGATAACAGAAATACAAAACAATACTTTGTATTTTGAAAAGAGAGGAGAATTCCTTCATAAAATAGTTCAGAATTTGCATCACTAATTAACCAGAAATATTTATCACAAATATAAAAACCACTTTAAGAAATTAGGAAAAGTCTCTGTAAGAAATTTAAGTAGGAGCAACATCTTTTCTCCCCGATTCAAACGTAAAAGCTGAAGAAACTAAATTCTGTCCATCAAAAGTATTAGTTTTCAGTACAGAACATATTTCTAAATTAAGGACAACATCTAAGGATAGTTTTAAGTGACATCAAGGGATCTGACATACTTTCATGTTTTACTTAGAAAACAAGTATTTCAAGTGAAGAGACTTTACAACACTGTAGAACCTTAGATGGTAAAATAGATTTAAAAAAAATAATTATAAATTTGATTTAGCCATGTAACAAGATTCACCCAATGCTGCTGATCTTGAAATTACTGGGATTTCATAAAACAGTTTGCGTCACACTCTAACTCCATTTCAAGCACTGAGCAAGATGAGAGGTATGCAACAGACTACCCAGGTCACAACCACACTCTGAATATAAATCTCTGGAAGCTGATTTTGAAGGAGACCTTTGAAGTAGAAACACAGCACCCACTTCTCTTAAGCTGTGTTCATTCCTTTAAGCCCTAGTAAGTTAAAACCAGATTCAATAAACTTGCCATCTGGCAAGTACGCTGCAGGAGGAAGAAGTTCTAATCCTGGCCACAGTTCCTTGTGTCCTGAAAAAAAACCCAACAACCCAACTCAATTTCCAAGGACTTGTGCAAACTTCCTATGGAAGCCAGATGGAGTTTTTATTGAATCTGCCATTTAAATAAAGAGGAATTGAGATGGTTACCCTCAGACCTGATGGTTAAAGTGCTTTTGCTTAGGAATTAAAAGCAGAGCAACATTTCACATTACAACCTTGAAACACACCACAAAAAGGTTGTGCTCTGTTACATACACGAGTAATGTAATATATGTAGAGACAGAGAGCATTACTGAAATATTTTGTAATCTCAACTTTTTTTTGAGTGTGCTTCAGCTCTCCTCTCTTCTACAATCGGCACAGAAAACATGGCAACCTCTGATAGATGAGCAATATTACATGATAATAGCCTATCAGTAACATACAGAAGAGAAAAGTGATCACGTTTAAGCGGATGTAATGCTACTGACTAATAGCTCCTACAGGAAATAGATACAGTTATGACAGCAGTTCTCCAGTTCAGGGAGAGAAAGCAGATAAAATGGGAGTGGAGAAATGAGATTAAATATATTTTGAAGCCTTGATGATTGCCTTCTGAAATAAAGCAATTTTTCATGTAGCTTTTTTCAGTCATGAATGATTAGGTAAATAATGCCTTTTTTGATACAAATTGATTTTTTTAACAAAATTTGTTGTAGAAAACTTAACATGTTTCTAGTGCTTTTTATGCTTGCCACCATAGACTTGAGTAGCATAGGTGGACTACTCTTGATGAAAATTGTTAAAACTGACTACAGCAACATTATACTCTTACCATCAACCATGATGAGGAAAAACATAATTTAACTTTTTAGTCATAAAATCATAGAATCATTTAGGTTGGAAAAGACTTTTAAGATCATCAAGTCCAACCAAAGTGGTATGAAATTTTTTATGAGTAAAGATGACAACTTCACCGTGAAAGACAGTCTCTCAAACAATGTTTGCAACCATCTTTCAAGGTAAAATTGCAGACTTCAGAGAACATTTTTTGAAGCAAGTTATCCCAGTCACAAGATTTGCTCTGGGAAAGGACACGCTTAGATGACTGGGAAACCATCTCAGCTCTACGTGGATCACTTGCAGAGTCTCAAAGCACATTGGAGATGGTGAGAAGAGAGGACAGCCAGCACACGGGGGGCCACTGCTCAGGAGCATCCTGCCAGCCTGGTCCCCAAGGCAAAGGGCCCATCTACAATATCCTCTTCTAAAGAGAAGCCGGCGCAGGCGGTAGCAGCCAACAAAGTGCTGGTCAGTGAAATGCAGCAGCTAGCTCGCTCTTGAACCTGGGATTGAGAACCTAAGAGCTAAACCCACCAAAACAGCGAAAGCAGTGCACTGTTCAAATTCAAGGCCCACCACCTAGCCAAACCATTTGCCCCAAGCTAAGCAAGTAGGTGTCCTACCTAGCTCACAGTGAAAATTCAGAGCTTAAAAGACCACTGCTTGGTTTAAGTTACACCATGTATTTGAACTAAGGACCCAGACTGATTTAAAGTCTTCAAATGACTGAAATCTAACCT